AATTAATTATTCATTATTATTTAAGAATCTCCATTCTATAGGCCCCTCTAGTGGCTGTAATCATAAAATGCAATTTTATGTCATTTTTCCCCACCAGATGGCATTAGAGACACTCGAGCCCCTTTCACACTGCACGTTGGTCCCGGCAAATTGCCGGAGGGCCTTCTGTGTGAACGCAAACACATCCCGGGATTGTTTCCGGGTTGGGGACCTAGTAACATTGCCGGGTTCAGTCCCGCAATGAGCTCTGTGTGAACAAAAGCCAGAACCAATGCCATAAAGGGTGTGTCGTAGTGATAATGCACGTTATCGTGCGACTCTTTTACCGGGTGTTTTGAAGGCATATCAACGTTCGCAACGAAAAAATATGTGCAAACTGTAATGAAGCAGAGATCAGGTAGCTCCTCACTATCGGCGCTGATCGTTTGCCAGCTTAAATGAAACAGAAGGGGTCACATTACATGTCACATCGTAATATCACGTGTCTTTACGGGATGTGTGTGAACGCACACACAGATTCCGGAAAATCACTGGCAGTGTGAATGAACCACAATCAAACGATCCCGGGACAAATTATCCATGTATTTTCCGGAATTTCTGTGAAAGAGGCTTCAGTGACCCAAGTATAAATATGCAGAAATTGTCTTACTTTGTGTGTGTGTGTGTGTGTGTGTGAAAAAGTGTACAAAAATATGCTCATTTGCATAAAAATATTCAGAATTTAATGTGGAAAAAAAAAACCTACATAAAAAAAATTATAAAAATGCACCAATATACGCTTCAAACACATCCCGGGATTGTTTCCGGGTTGGGGACCTAGTAACATTGCCGGGTTCAGTCCCGCAATGAGCTCTGTGTGAACAAAAGCCAGAACCAATGCCATAAAGGGTGTGTCGTAGTGATAATGCACGTTATCGTGCGACTCTTTTACCGGGTGTTTTGAAGGCAGATCAACGTTCGCAATGAAAAAATATGTGCAAACTGTAATGAAGCAGAGATCAGGTAGCTCCTCACTATCGGCGCTGATCGTTTGCCAGCTTAAATGAAACAGAACGGGTCACATTACATGTCACATCGTAATATCACGTGTCTTTACGGGATGTGTGTGAACGCACACACAGATTCCGGAAAATCACTGGCAGTGTGAATGAACCACAATCAAACGATCCCGGGACAAATTATCCATGTATTTTCCGGAATTTCTGTGAAAGAGGCTTCAGTGACCCAAGTATAAATATGCAGAAATTGTCTTACTTTGTGTGTGTGTGTGTGTGTGTGTGAAAAAGTGTACAAAAATATGCTCATTTGCATAAAAATATTCAGAATTTAATGTGGAAAAAAAAAACCTACATAAAAAAAATTATAAAAATGGACCAATATAAGCTTTCTGGACCAAAAAAAAGTAATAAATACTGTCATTTTTGGCCTTCGGGTCATTTTGACCCATGAGGGACACTTTTGTTATAGGTTCGGGAGGGACGGATGAGGGTTAATTCCCTCCTTATTTTGCTTTTCCTGTCCAACCAACCTAACTGCATCAGCATATGATACTTTTTCCCCTTTCTTTAATCTGCTGCACCTCCACTTCCCTCCTATATATTTCACATCCCCAATATGCAACACTATCGCTTCCTCCACAATTGCAACATCCCCACCCACACTTTCTGTCCAACCAACCTAACTGCATCAGCATATGCCACCACCTAGCACATTTACTTTTTCGTTACCTGCGCGCGAGTGAACCGTCCGCGGGAGTGACGGAGCGGTTATTTATTTGTATGGTAACTAATTAATTCAACTAACAAAGCGATTACACATATAAACACTTAAAAAATATACTCTGCAGTGTCACCTGCAGCTTTTCCCGAAGCATTGGGAACTTTTAGTAACTCCCCACTCTCCAACTTCTCCCCTGATGCTCTGCATGTTCAACTGTCACCTGTATAGCCTACTAATGTGTGTGCGTCTGAGTTGCGTATTGCGTAGATGATGTATAGGCTAATATTTATAATATAATCAATATAACAATATTTCATACT